GCCCTCATAGTTTCAACAACCTCTCTCAACTCAGTCCAGTTGCGGTAACCCCATCGGCACTGGTGGAAACCGAAGGTCCAGTACTGCTGCATGGCAGGCAGTCCAATCGCCGACTTTTGGTACTCCTTGGTCACCTCAGGCTGAGAAGGTCCGTCGTAGAAGAATAGATCGATCGCGCCTCCTAGTGTTCTCCACGAGAGATGGTCAGGCTTCATGACAACATCCATACCGTGAGTGTTACGGTAGTAAACACCATGAGAGAGAGACTCGTACTTCGATCCAGTTGGCTTACTCTCGTAGCCGTAGTTGCTCTGCTGCATCTCGGACTGTTTAAGAGGGGTCCTGCTACCGTTGCCGCCCTTCTCGAAGTAGCGGGTTTCGAGGTAGAACGGGTGGCTACCGTAAAGATTGCGGTCGATTGGGTCACCAACATCAGCAGCGTAGATGGTCGCGGTGAAGTTGTTGTTCAGGCGGAGGCCGTGGATGCGTTCTCCCAGACCGTAAAGGTTGTAGTCTTCAGGCAGGCTGTTCACAAACTCGACAAACTGGTTCTCATAAATGAGATGCGAGCCCTGAGTAGTGAAGATGACATCTCCAGTAGAGCGACGGCCGACATTGAACCAGAAAGATGGCTCGTTGCCCCCTTGAAACCGCGTTAGCTGAGAATCCTCACAGTGTAACAATATCCTCGTTGAGATGGCTTACAATCAAATTTGAGGTCTGTGCCCTCCGATGAATCCTCGGCCTGAGGTCTTGGGATAAGATCCTCGGGTACAATCCATTGGGACTGGTTGCTAGCATCAAGATGTTTGGGGACAATGCTAACGGCCAGTCGCCCCTTGGCCTGGTATTCGACCTTCAGGTCTAGCTCCTCGATATCGGTACCATAAGCATTGCAAGGTGCCCCAGCCAGTGTTAAGGTGGCGCTCAGGCCACGGTCGTTTTGTTCAAGACCAGATGCCTTGTAGCCTGGGCAGACATCCTGTGCATTGACGGCTTGCGGATCGTATATGTTAGGGATCTGCTCAACGCCTTGGTCTACTGAGGGAGGAAGAGTAAAGACAGGGCGGAATGAGGTAGGGGTGCCAGCCAGGGTCGTGCTCCAACCGCCGTCAGACGAGCTGATAGGTGTCTGGCCAGCTGTAAGCGACAGGAAAGAAGAGAGCAGCGTTGAAGCTTGAAGATAGCTTGAGCGCGACATGATCGATGTGCTGAACCAGTCGAGTGCTGCCTGAAGATCCTTTGGGGTCCATGGCGACCTGGTCCCTTTATAGCTTTCCGCATTGCTGTCCACTGCATTAGGCGCCATATTGGTTTGCTGCGTGAATCTGCGATTCCCCGCAGTGAAGGAACCTGCAATGACGCTGAGCAACAGGAACTGGACTCGAGGAGGCTGGGCGCCTGCATGCGCCATGCATAAGCGAGCTCCGTGCGGGGGATGATCATGGGGGAGCGCGCCGACATTGAGCGAATGGGAACGTGCGGAGACATGCAGTGCCGTCGATGTGTGGGGATCGTGAAGAAGACGGACTTCTAGATTCTAAGCTTCGTGGCTTGAAGCTTGTGATAGCTCATAATGCCTGGCAGAAGCGACTCACCCGTGGGTACTTCCAATGTAGGAGGTACCCCAGCATGCGGTACAGCGCGACAATCCTAAAGGAAAAGAACGGATCCCTAAAGGAAAAGAAGCGAATCATCGTCAAGTTTGGAGGGTTGGCAGTTGGTGTCGAGGTGATGTCTTTATTCATAGTTTCAGTGTTTGGCACGGAAGTCATCGTGCCTGCTTCGACGCGAACCGAATCAGTAGGTGCGACCCGACGGAGGAAAATTGCTAAGCATCTCCGAACGCCTTCATGGCGCTCTTGCTTCCTCGGTTCACGTGAACATCCCAGTCCTCTTCCGAAGCTGACAAGAGCACAGATTGTGGACGCGCCACGGAATGTATCTCGGTAGTGCCACTAAATCGTACATGCACGGCACGATATGGCGGGTTCAACGTTCTGTGCCTAGGTAGGCCACATGTCATGACAGTGGGGTCGCATGCAGATCTCCCCACAGGCACGGTTGCTGGTCACAAAGGAAGAAAGCTTATACACACAGCGATACTGTTATAAAATTGATGTTTTGTTGTATTTCATTGATACTGTATGTTTTACATTACGTTAGGGTATTAAAGTACAAGAATGTGAGACGTCGTTGTGACATTGCATCCGCTCTGCAGCATGATCCGTAGTATTTGCACCTTGCTCGCATTGCATCATGGAGCTGCATGCAGTTCATGGCCTCGCGTGCCCTAGCGTTTTCCCGCGTGCTTCCTTCCCGTGCGTCGGAGTACAGGGCTGTCGCGCACGCCCTCGTTGGTCCAAAGTCGGGACACAGAAGTGGAGCAGCGGATGTATTACACTGCGCGCAATGCGATCCTTCCTGAGGGTCTCGGCCCGTGGAGAATGAAGAATGTTGGTGCAGGCAGTACACGGCCCGCATGGGTAAGACTACAAAGCTCAGCGCGCCCCCAACATCATAGTTGGAATGATGGTAGGGCAGTTGGCTCCCGTAGCTCACGTCAAGGGCGAGTAGCTTGTAGGCCTGCTGTCCTCGCTAGGTCGATGGAAAGTCTTGTATTCGGCGTATTCGTCACCTTCTTCAGCAAGATACAATCCATCGTCCGGGAGCCAGCTTCGCGAATCGTGCGTAGCTCGGGTTGCCGTGGTCATTGTAGAAGCCCGCGCGGAGGCTCGACGTGGGGCTGTTGGTGGTATAGGAGACTGCTGTCGCGGAGGGGTATAAACAGTTGGTGATAAACGAAAGTTCGGGTTCGTAGGACTGGGTAGTACCGTTGAACTTGGATGTAAAAGCAACCCTGATGCAGCAGGAGGTGCACCAGGTGAAAGTGGTTCTGGAATAAGACTCGAGTGTAGCATGGCGGACTGCGCCTTCTTTGGAGAAAGAGAAAGTGGTTTAGGGAATGTCGATTCTGTTGGTGTTCGCGCAGGGTTGCGCGAAGGAACGGTGGGTGTGTTCGGCTCGCCATTTGGTTGATCGCCTATGATATCCTGGTACCAGTCGTAGGAACGAAAGCTGAAGCTTGGGCTTGGAGGTGGCAAGTCGGGTAATGGAAGTTGAGGGGGCTTGCTCTCCAGTTTAGAAAGAGTCTCTCTAACGGGGGAGGGTGGTTCGGAATCACCTCCGTTCGAACTGCCGTCGGCTATCGAGACACTGTCGGCAGAGTGTCTTTTGTTCGGTAATTGGCTAAGTTCGTATTCCGAGTTTCGCTTTTCCGCGGTAGGCGTGGCATGCGAGATGGATATCGATGGAGGAGCGGCTGTAGGCGGGATGTATTCCTCAAACTTGTATCGCGGCGCACGATCCCGGGTGGGAGTACCACTGCGAGGAGTATCATTACCCCGAAGCGAACTGACGGCATTGATCAACTCATCATCGAGTATCATGCTCTTGTTGATATTGACATTGACCGCATACGACTTCGCTTTCGTTGGCGGTGGAGGAAGGGGATGTTCCATGAGCGGATGAGGTGTTGGACGAGGTGGCAGTGCCTTTTCTGTCGAGCTTCGTGCGTGCTTCTCCATAGATCCTGATCTCTTGTTGTCCGGTTTCTCCTTCTTCTCATTGAATGCAAGAGCCCTGGCAAATAGCCCAGGGTCCATGGTCTGTTGTTGACTGAAGGCTGCGTTCTGGGGACTGTTTGGTAGTGATGCTACCAAGGTCCTCTGATCTGTGGCATTCGAGGCAGACCTTTGGCGAGTGTGTGAAGGCGCCTCGATCGTATGGGTGCGTGGCCGTCTTGCTCGAACCCTCCAGAACCAGTAACCAGCTGCAATCATCAACACCACCATTCCCACAACTCCTACACCGATGCCAATGGCCGACCCTGGAGTTAGTCGCGAAGTTGGCTCTGCGCCCGACCCGCCAAGCGGTGCAGCACCGCCCATGGTAACACATCTTGCGCTCGAGCATGCTTTGCCGCTTGCGCAGTCGCTATCTGTAGAGCATGTCTCGGTGGGTCCCTTGGAAGTGTCCACGAGGCTTGGCTGATTGAGTGAGTTGGTTACGCTGGGAACGGGAGCATTCGTTCCAAGTTGGATGAAGGAGAAGTCCGATGCCAAGTTGGTAGGTAGTGCGGTTGGTGACGACGAGGCAATGCGTAATGATGTAGAAGTTGCGCTCGGTTTCCGTTGTTTGGTAGAAGTACCAGTCGCTCTTTGTGACGAAGTGGATGTAGCCGGCGCTCTTCGCGATGAGGTAGATGTAGTACTTTGTGGTCGTCGGCGGGTAGTAATGAGTGTGGTAGACATTATTATTAAAGATTGTGTTGAAGCTGGTTGTACTGATAAGGAGTGAGTGAACGACGCCGCGCCGATGCCTCAGCCACTTCGTCAGGATGCGCAGGCTTCTTTATGTGATACACCAAGTTCTCCGAAAAGAAAGCATATAGAACGAATGTAGTGTGTATGAAGGATAGTAGTAGGTGCTCACAAAGTCACGAAGATCCGCGATCGACAGAGTCCTTGCGACACAACATCGCCATGCAGGGCGGCACGGGTTAGACCATATCTTGTAGGGTCCGGCAGAAGAGCGTGGAGCTAAAGTTTATTGACGATGCACGCACGGTGCGGGCGATCCACGTTCGGTTGGAGGTTTGACGATCCTTAGTGCGCAACCCAACGTCGCACCCGTCAAACCTTGTCCCCAAACATTGCTTTTGCCGCGACAGTTGACAGTGTGTGTGTGAGCAATAAAGGTATATCACGACGGCGGAAAATACCGTCGTGCTAATCGAGAGAAACTGACCCCCCAGCTTCTGTTGTGCCCAGTATTGAGTACGTTGCGATAACTGCTGTTAGTTCCCCTGTCTACTACCAACATAGCCGGATTCGGCAGCCGTAAAAGCACCGTAGGGGCCCGAGTCAGGATGTTCACGGGTGCGCATCCAAATGTGGTACCAACTCGTTTCAGGGGCACGGAAATGGTACCTGCATATACTATTTTCTGCCTGCAAGCCATCCCACTACGTCTTTCGCGCTGCTGTCGGGAGGGAAAACAGGGTACCAGACTTTGACGATGACTGCGTCTTCGATCGCGAGGGCGCATCTTTTGATCAGTGTCTTATCTTGCCATTTGAAAGTGGGTAGTTTCAGGGCATTGGCAAAGTGTAGGTTCTCGTCCGAAAGCAGTTCGTAGGGTAAATGCAGCCGGTCCTTGGCCTCTTTTTGGTAGGCAGTGTCCTGAGTCGACAATCCAAATACACGCTGTGCGCCGAGGTCGCGTAGTTTGGCCATCTCGTCGCGGAAGCTGCACGCCTGAGGTGTGCAGCCTCGTGCTCCTGGTATGGAGTTCCAATCTTCAGTGATTGTTTCACCAGGTGCACCGGTACGCGGATAGCAGAAGACGATTGTCAGGCCCGGATAAATTGAGACATCAAGCCAGTCTCCTGACGTTGCAGACAAGGATACGGAAGGTATCTGTGTCCCGCTCAAGTGCGAACACGCGCCGTCATCCTGAGGGACAGGTAGGTCCGAAGGGAAGGATGTGTCTGTGCTCGTCAGCACTCGGTCTTGTGAGTATCTGTGCCACTAACGAGCCATGTTAACCGCCGGCCGTCGGTACCGAAGTGTCGTCAAGTTACTCTTGCCTGGCTCATGCGCTACTTACAACGTGCGCTTCGGTCGCCGTCAAGTTGGTGCGTAGGGGACTGTCTATGAGTTGGTAGAGGGTTGACCCTGATGCCCTGAATCGACCTTGCACGAGCGGGGTTCGCAATGACTTTTCAACAAAATCGCGACGATCCAAGGTCCAAAACCAGATCGCTGTGAGAAATCGTGATACGATGGAGTCAGCCTGGGGGTTTTGCTTTGCTGTCTGATGTGGGTGTATGGTGGTGGTGTTGTCGGCAATGGCAGACGGTGACTGGTGGTGAGAAGGGTCGGTGGCGGGGCGAAGGCTTGAAAAGCATTGAACAAAGGTTCAGGTCTACTGCAAGATATTGCTTTGCTGTCAGAACTACTGGTTGGTACTGAACTAACAGACCGCGGGGTAAGAGGCCAATGTCACCGGATTGGAGCGTCCCGCGTATGTTTGCTTTGGGATCTGCCAAACTAGAGCATGTGCTTAGTTGATGTTTGGTAGGTGGCGGTTACGCGAAGGGTAGCCGCGTCCCGCGTCCCGATTCCCTTATTCTGGCATCACGAGATTCTATAGCAGAGGTTTATAGTTGCGACTGCACATGTGAGGGCGAAAGTTTCCATGCAGAGGTGAACGAAGACAATTGTTCGGTCCCTGGATCAAAGCCATCAGCAAGTCTGGCTTGGTGGGTATCGTAGCCATGCTACGTAATCTCATTTGCTTCTTGCATGTCATTTCGCTTATATGATTCAAGATTTGTCTATTTCTCGGCCTTTGTCTTGGACGCATGTATTCTTATCACATCATGTCTCCCACAGAGTACTGCAGTGGAGCTTATGTTTCCCAGTCGTGCAATCGTTACCAGGTCAACAGTTTCCAGCAGCAGTAGAGTCACACTCACACCCCAAGATACGGGCATCGTGAGGACTCTACAGGCCTCGGAGCGTTGTAGTTATATCGCATCAAAGATGTAGATGTTCGCATGCGTAGGGAACTTTGACCGTGGACAGGTTGAAAACACCACCCAATTCACGCAAGATTTTAACACCTACTTCCTACAGAGAGAATGATAGAGATAGCAGAATTCCGACAAGACTCTTGAATATCACTTAACAGCCCATGTAGACTGCAGCGCATTTGTTCAGTTTGTTTGTTGTGTGCATAGCAAGGTGACACCACATTGCAGTGATGCCGACCGAAGTGGGGTCGCGATCGGCGCTACAGCTTCTGGAGCTCCTCCATGTCCAATCGTGACATCATTAAATCTAAGTAATGCGCGTGTCATCATTGGCCAACTAGCAGCTGTCGCGCTCATAGACAGCCCTTCACTCTTCACCTCTCTTTACAACATTAATGCAGTCACTACGTATTCTACGACCCTTACGAACCTCACTCAAGCTCCAATTCAGCCCCACCAGTCGTCTACAAAGAGCTCCGTTCACATCAACAACCGTAGCCATGGCTCAAGAATTCAAGCTCAAGGATGTCACTTCCTTACAAATGAAGAATGGAGACAAGAAGGAGGTCGAAGTTGAGGGTGTTGAGGGAGGAAAGGTGCTCCTGTTGAAGATCCAGGACCAGGTGCATGCTACCAGTGCCAACTGCACACATTACGGCGCGCCTTTAGTGAAGGGCGTATTGACACCAGAGGGTCGTTTGACATGCCCATGGCACGGAGGTAATACCCATACGCTACCTATGTCGCATGCTCAAGACTGACATTCATAGCTTGCTTCAAGGTCTCGACCGGAGATGTTGAAGATGCACCCGCGCTCGACCCCATTGCAAAGTACGAAGTAGTCGAGAAGGACGGCGCCGTATACGTCAAAACCACCGAAGACGCACTGAAAGCCAACCGCAAATACCTGAACATCAAGTGCTCATCAGTGAGCGAGGACAAAGTCCTAGTCATTGGTGGTGGCTCGGGTACTCTTGGTGCCATTGAAGGTCTAAGAGGCGGCGGATACAATGGCAAGATCACCGTGATCTCCAAGGAAGGCTACCAGCCCATTGACCGAACCAAGTTGTCCAAGGCGCTGCTGGCTGATATCTCCAAGGCGGCTTGGAGGTCAAAAGAGTTCTACAAGGACGCGTCGATTGACATTATCGAAGACGAGGCGAAGAGCGTAGACTTCTCTGGCAAGAAGGTATCCACAAAGTCTGGAAAGGAGTACGAATACACAAAGCTGGTGTTGGCGACTGGTGGCACACCAAGGTGGCTGCCACTTGACGGTCTCAAGGGCGACCTGGGCAACGTCTTCCTTCTCCGCACTCTGCCCGACGCACAGAACATCCTCAAGGCTGTTGGGGACAACGGCAAGAAGGTCGTGGTCGTTGGCAGCTCGTTCATCGGTATGGAGGTCGGCAACTGCCTCGCTAGCATGAAGAACGATGTGACCATCATTGGTATGGAAGAGGGTAAGTCATCCGTCTGCTCTCGTTGATGGTATTCTAACGTTATCGCAGAACCAATGGAGCGTGTAATGGGAAAGAAGGTTGGTGGCATCTTCCGCGGTCTGCTCGAGAAGAACGGCGTCAAGTTCAAGATGGGCGCCAGTGTTGAGAAGGCCACTCCTTCCAAGAGCGATTCATCCAAGGTCGGTGCTGTGCATCTCAAAGACGGAACCACACTGGAGGCAGACCTCGTCATCGAAGGTGTCGGTGTCGCGCCCGCGACCGAATACCTCAAGGACAACTCAAGCGTTACGCTGGAGAAGGACGGATCATTGAAGACAGACGAGTCCTTTGCCGTCAGTGGCCTGAAGGATGTGTATGCCATCGGTGACATCGCAACATACCCCTACCACGGACCAGGAGGCAACGGCACACCAGTTCGCATCGAGCACTGGAACGTCGCACAAAACGCCGGTCGCTCTGTAGCCAACACCATCAACAACCCAGGATCCAAAGCAAAGCCCTTCATTCCCGTCTTTTGGTCGGCCTTGGGCTCGCAGCTGCGATACTGCGGTAACACGGTGGGTGGCTACGACGATGTGATCCTCCAGGGCGAGCCAGAGAAGCCGTCGTTTGTCGCGTACTACACCCAGGGCGAGACAGTGGTGGCCGTCGCGAGTATGATGAAGGATCCCTACATGACACAAGCAGCGGAGCTCATGCGTAGGAACAAGATGCCCGGTAAGAGCGAGCTGCAGAAGGGCGTTGACATCCTGGAGGTCGGTCTGCCGAACGAGATTAAGATGTGAAGTGGCATGACTGCAAAAGAATAGCCGTAGTGAACCACCAAATAATGAAATTACGCAGAGGGCATGTCACCAGTTGGTGTAACCTACTTGTGGGTTCTCAATGCAAGGTGTACTAGTTGCAAAGTTCTAGGCCTCTAGTCCACGTGATTCTCTATTACACTCATGGTGTCCCCCGCGACTTCCTACTAACTCCGCAGCTTCCGGATCTACATTTCAACTCATTCTGTCACAAACGTGCGCATGACCAAGTATTACAGCGACATGACGAGGGTAGACCCGTCTGATCAGTGCTGTCACAATCTGTTCAATAACGTCCGAAGCAGTAGTTCCTCAACATTGACCCGACATGCAACTCAATCTGAACATTACGTAGGAAACGGCAATCTAGAGCTGACGTTGGAAGATGGTTGAACTCAATGTAAGGTGAGAAGAGACGAATATGCCCGACTCGAACAGCGGATCCATGCTCGCGGGGTACGACCGTTGCAGTATGGAGATATGCTCCGCAAGATGTGCCGCAGGGCGGTGGAAAGGAAATGAAGCGTGCAGCAGACATTTTCCCAAAGTGACGTCAAGCCGGACGGCAGAGGCTCGTGTTGCACAGCGCGAGGGCATCTGGAGATGGCGCAAGAGTCGAGTAACGGTGGGAGCGGGAAGGTGGGTCCGCTGGTTGCACGGCAAGGGCGATCGAGGCGCCAAACATCTAATTTCCAATGTTCCGAAGAGCGGCCTAACGCTCGCCCAAAGGGGAAAATTATACAGAGCAGACGGCGCGACTCGGACTCGAAGGTTATCTTGCCTCGTTCTGCGTGTAGAGAAAATGCTTTGCGCAGACTGAGTTGCAGGCGCAGAGATGAAGGTCTGTCTGTTTATCTGTCTGTCGGCAACTTCTTCTCATTGGATGCGCTGGCGAGGAATGCAAAGACATGCAGGGCAGGCCTCCCTTACGGCGTGGACGGCTGAGACATGGTGACAGCGGTTTGGTCGACCTGTCTTGTTGCGAACCTCCGTCTTTGCTGCTACACGCGTGGATGTCCTTGCTGTGGATTGTCAGATGAAGTTAGGGGGCGTCATCTGGGCTTATTTGTGCTGCCCATCCCGGCAGGGCGCGTCATAACGTTCTGCGACAAAGTTGGGCGTATTGTTGATGTTTATGTGTTGCTTTTGCTCTTGGACGCGACCCGCGGTGAGCACGCGCAGAGCGACCTCGACCGCGACGGTCATACGGATGGGTAGATGACAGGAATGGATCACGCATGTCTCGCAGCAGGCGCGCGGTCAAGCGACATTCAAGGAGCCGGCGACGTCTATATCGAGGGCCAGCCCAAGATATCGCAGCAGCGCACACGGCGGGCGAGCGCATAACAGGCAATTTGCGGGCGGGTCGGTGCTGTGTGAAACAACGACCCATGGCTGCTACTCCTATTCGAGCGGCGGCGTGCAGACAGGCGCGTCGAGCGCAGACATCGAGGGCGTGGTGAAGGGCGTTGTTCGGGCGTGCGTGTTAGAGGAGGCGCTGGGAGTGCCTGGCTAGCTGTAGGCGTGAGTAATTATCGCATCTAGCAGACCAGTGCCCGCGTCCTTGCTTTGGCGGGCTGGTTTATGCCGAGCCCATGTCGATGATGTGCATCTGCCTCCTTTCCCAAGCCACAGCCTTTACCGAAATTGCCGTCAAGACCAACCTCAGCCGCGCCTTCTCTTCTCTCCACTCACGTCAATCAACACGTCGAGGTCGAGCAGCTTCTCGCCGCGACCGTTAGATAGCCGACGCGCTGCCACCGGCGCCGACTCGCACGACGGCCGCCCTTTGTGCACCCCCTCTGCACGCTCGCTGCCCACGCTGCACCTGCACGCGCATGTGAAGCTATCTAGTCCGTCGCGTCCCAATTGCTCCCAGGCCAAGGTTCAGCACACCGCACCGCCGCGGCTCCGATTTGGCCACTCTCCCCGCCAAAGCCCATTCGACAGCTCAACACCGCCAGTTGACGTTCCGCCCACAAATACTGCCAGCGCAGCTTAGGACCGATAACATAGCGCACCACCCCCCAGGCCCTGCACCCAACTCGCCGTCCCCAGATCATGGCCGCAGTGGCATCGCAGCCGCCGCATGGTCAGCAGCAGCAGTACTACCAGCAGCAACCGCCCGCCGCAGCCTCGCCCGGCACCGCTCGCCGCCCGACGTCGCGACGGCCCAGTAATGGCGCGTCGCCCAACACGCCTACCTCCCAGAACTCTCCCCCGATGAACACCGCGCCCACCACCAACGGCAACGGCAGCGGACCCATGGCGCCCCCCAGGACCTCGTCGCACCGCTCGCCCAACACTGCATCTGCATCCTCGTCGTCACAGCCCTCGCGGACACGCGAAGAGTCACGCCGGCGGGAAAAGGACAGCCCTCGCCAGACCACCACCTCGACCCGCGCCCAGCCCGGCCACAGTCGCTCTGCCACCGCCATTGGCCAGCCGCCCGTAGGAACCAGCTTGCCCCGTGAAGAGAGCGCCGTCATAAATCGCATCGTCGTCTCCGACACCCAGGACGACATCGCCCGCGCCCAAGCACGCCAAGGAGACGGCCCATCCGTCACGGCTGGCGCAGATCTTACTCCCATCACCGGACTCAGTCTGGTCGGCAGCGAAGGCGTCGATGATGGCGGCCGCGGCGGAAGTGGCAGCGGAAGCGGAGGCGCAGTAGGAGGAAAGAGCAGACAGGACCACTCCAAGTCGGAGAACGCGAAGCGCTCCAAGTTTGGCAACTACATCCTCGGCCAGACGCTTGGCGAGGGAGAGTTCGGCAAGGTCAAGATGGGCTGGAAACGAGACAGTTCGGTCGAGGTCGCCATCAAGCTCATACGGCGAGAGACCCTGGGGAGCAACTCGAACCGCCTCCAGAAGATCTACCGCGAGATCCACATCCTTCGCGGCTTGGACCACCCCAACATCGTGCGCCTGCACGAGATGGTCGAGACCGAGCGCCATATCGGTATCATTCTAGAATATGCTTCTGGCGGAGAATTGTTCGACTACATCTTAAACCATCGCTACTTGAAGGACGGCCCAGCCCGCAAGCTCTTCTCCCAGCTCATATCTGGCGTTGGCTACCTCCACCGCAAGGGTATTGTCCACCGAGACTTGAAGCTCGAGAACCTGCTGCTCGACCGCAACAAGAACATCATCATCACCGATTTCGGATTCGCAAACACGTTCGACCCCAACGACGAGCTCCGCGAAGAGATTGAGTACAGACTCGGAGACAAAGACTACATAAGATCTCTGGGACTGGAAGGAACCGACGCAGCCCGCAGAGGTGATCTCATGCAGACCAGCTGCGGAAGTCCCTGCTACGCGGCGCCTGAGTTGGTTGTCAGCGATTCGCTCTACACTGGTCGCAAGGTCGATGTCTGGAGTTGTGGTGTTATTCTAGTGAGTTTCCCTAATCTTTCATCTCCACGCACTTGCTAACTGGATATAGTACGCCATGCTGGCTGGTTACCTGCCTTTCGATGACGACCCAGCGAACCCCGAGGGTGATAATATCAACTTGCTCTACAAGTACATTGTATCCACACCGCTCACATTTCCCGAATATATCACCCCACATGCAAGGGATCTGCTGAAGCGCATCCTTGTACCGGACCCACGCAAAAGGGCGGACTTGTTTGAAGTCGCGCGTCACAGCTGGTTGGCCGACTACGCGCACGTTGTTGGCTTCATTACCTCAAGCAACACGAACGCGGCAGAGGCCCAACAGGCGTCCGTCTACTCGAGTAAGCTCCCAGATCCACCTCTCATCAAACGCACAGGTATTGACGTAGTAGCAGAAGACACATTCGAGCCGCAGCCCACACTCGCTAGAAGCGCTTCTGTTCGTGAACCCTCGAAGCCGCACGCCGCGCCCGCAACCGCACACGGCGGTCTCCAGACGAAGCGCGAAGCGATCAACCAGGCACCCTCCGAGAAGCCAAAGACAACCCGCGATACCAAGCGTCGAACCGTGCAAGTCGAATATGTCGCACCATCGTCGCAAACCGCTCGCGGCGAGGCATCCCCTCCAGTCGAGCCAACTCCGAAAGCACGCGGCAAAGAGGCCGAAGTACCGCCCACTGATGGATACCAGTCAACTTCGAGCGCCAAACCACGTTCTTCTGGCACAACCTACAACTCGACCAGAAGGCAGGATCCTCAGCGTTCCGTCTCGGATTACACAGCTTTCGGAAATGCGCCTCCATCTGCTACACGCCCATCCACTGGTGGAGCTCTAGGCACGTCGAGACTACCATCGCGAGGAAACTCCTACGGACAGCCATCTGTCGCGACCGTCGCCCAGACAAACGCAGAGGGACGCTTCTCCCAGCCAAAGGGCAAACAATACTCCATTTCGGCACCTTATGCTCAGCAGCAAGAGCCGTCTGAGGCAGCTGAGCCTCCCAACATCGGTCAGTCGAGCTCGCAGCGAGTGCAGTCTGTACAGGGTCCGCCACATGGCGGAGCTGGTGGCGGCCACCGGAGATCGAACACTGTTTCTTCGACTCTCGGCCGCATGACATCCATGTTCTCTGGTCGTCAGCCTTCTTATACGCAGGATCCCAAGGAGTCATTTACATCCACAGGTTCCTACGGCTACCCTGAAGAGAAGAAACAGAAGAGCTATCCTCCCACTTCCATGGCCGGACCCATGTCCAACGAGGCGGTTTCTTCGATATCTGGCCCCAGAGCAAGCATGGAGTCAAGCCGACGAACTTCTTTCGGCTTCTCTAGGAAGAACACAGGCAACTCGGGCGACAACCCGAAATCCAGCCGCCGCTTCTCACTTCTTCCATCTTCACTCTCGAAGACTTTCTCTTCTCAGCGGGATAGCTTACCAGCGCAATCCTCCCACGAGCGACGTGGCTCCAGTTCTCGTCCTCGCGCTAGCTCGCGTCCCGGTGGACCTTTCGGTCGCGTTACGGACTCAAGGTCTCCTAGTCAGAGCACCCAAGGAAGCAACATGCCAGGTCTCTACGACGGTCAACACGACAGCAACTCCAGAATACGGCAGCCCAACACGAGCGCCCCTGGACCTTCCTCGGCGCCCGCGAACCAAACCCAGTTCAGCGGCTACAACCACTCGGCACCCGAGTTTGACGAAAAGTTCCCCAACCCTCAAGGAGCACACCCATCTGCCCAAGGAAACCGCCCGTACCGCCACCCCACGGACGACTCAGAAGCCGACATGTCGCAGTCACAGCAATTTAGTCAGCGAACTCCATCCAACCCCTACCCTGCAGGCATGGGTGGTGACGACTCCAACCAGCAGCAGAGGAAGACAGCCGTGCTACAGAAGAACCGACGTTTCGTGGATGCGTACGACGAGCAAGGCAGCGGCAACAAGGGAAGTTCGGGTAGCTCTAAGAAGGTTATGGACTTCTTTAGGCGTATGGGCAAGCAGCGAACCAGCAGCCGTTAACGCGCCAGACGAGAAGTCGATGATTCCTGAAGTTGTCCCTCCAGGAAGATGGGCCACAGCAGGACGTGTGGCCAGACAGGTGCTTGGAACGATCTGGTTGTTTGACATTGGTGTGGGTGTTTTGGGAGCATACCGGCGCATTGTCTACGTTTCTTTCCTCTCTCTCTCTCTTTTCCCTTCCACTTGGAACTTGTTCGCTCTGCTTGTTCTAGCTTGTGCTCGCTGGATACCACATATTCACGCACATGCGACTCTGTTTACGCTTTTTTTATACTCTTCCAACCATCATCAGCGTGCGGCATGCTGAGGTAATTATTGCATTAGCAGGCGTTTTCTTTTTTTTCCTTTTCCTTTTTTCACTTGATGGCAACGCAAGATTGTGGGTTACGTTGCCAGGTAATCTTTACTCTCTCAGCTCACTCTTCTTGGAGAGGGAGATGAGGCTGCTTGTTTAGTGTAGTCGTAGTTGTAGTATACAGGGTTTGGGTGAGGAGGTGGAAAGTGGAATTGATATGTTGGAATGTTCGAAATTGTTGATCTGATGCGTGCGATCACGTGCTCGATATGTCTTGTGAAACTGGGGAACGCTATAGGGTTATTATCCAGCTTGTTAAAGTCTGCGTGAAGTGGACTGAAAATAGTTCACACATTTTGACGCGCACAAAGGTGGTACTACCTCAAGGTAACTGATGTGAAATGACCTAGAATAGCAAAAGACTGTCACACAAACTCGATCAAGCACAGAGCATTGTAACGCTAATGAACGATCAAGTACTACCGCTAATCCATCTGCACCCCATCTATATAACCTTTCCACATAGCCCAGGGTATCATCCGGTCTAGTTGCAGCCCCATGAACAAACAAAGACCCTGGCAAATGTTGCAATCCCAACCGCCTTCCACCTTCCCACGAAAAACTCTCTATGAAGGCGGCAACTGCCCACCCTCCTTCGTCTTTCCCACAGGCGGGTTCGGCTTCGTACCCCCAGCGGAGTTCAAGCTACTCAAATAGCAATTCCAGCCGAGCGAGATCACATTAACAACCAAGACGCGCATCTCCTGAGGCACGTATTTGAAGTTGGTAAACTGGACCCAAGGCCAGACCATCAAGTTCTTCTGGTAGCCCGGCAGATAAGCGTCCTTGAGGCGCTGGACGGGCGAGTTACCCTCCATGTAAGCCATGGTGGAGAGGAAGAGGGCCATGTTGCAGGGCGCGAAGAGGAACTGGTCGCAGGCTACGCGCGCGAGGATGGTGCCGTTTGTGGATTGCAGGTTTACGCGCTTGACGAGGAAGTCGAACCATTTTGTTGCGGCGGGGCCGAAGATGCCTGGCGTGGTGGTGTTAGTATGGCAGATGGAAAGGGGTATGGAGGAGGGGGAGACGTACATCCTCCGTAGGCGGCCATGCGTCCTGTACGCGCGAGGTCGTGCTTATCGAGGCCGCGGCGCTCGACTCCTTGCTGGGCCATTGTGTCGCCCGTTGCGAAGAGTACCTGTGGCATGCCATGTCAGTTTCTGTGTTTCGACATGCCAGCTGCTCGATCCCTCTCTCGTTCTTATATATCGACTTGTCGGATGTGCTTATCGGCCTGCTGGCTGGCTGGCTACCAAGTCGCATTGCGTCGCGCAAAGAGGGATTGAGGAATCGCAGTTCGAGATAAAAGACGTGCATACCGCGGTAGTGATACTCTGCGTCAGATAAGGCGACGTCCTAAGCTTTGCCTGGTACCTGTCATCCGAATCAGCATTGTCCCCTTTCCCACGATGGTTCTCCACCGCTTTTCCCAAGTGACGTACCAGCGAAACGCCATTTTGAAGGTGATGAGAGAAGTCAATCGCCTCAGCAGCTAAAGATGTAGCACGTATAAGTACGACTGAGAGCGAGCGACACGACCGCGAAAAAAAGGGTGCGAGAGTGGAGAAGGTGTGTGTGGAAAAAGAAAGTCGAGTAAGTCTAGCAACGTAAGTTTGGTGAGCTTGCGGGACCCGATGATGTCGTGCAGGGTCCCGCGCCCGCACATGGCGGTCGGGGAGCTTCGTTAGCTTTTGAACCCCTTGATCTCCACTGTCAGGCTATCGGGCCTCGACCGTGAACAAGCTTTTATTCACGTACACAACTCTGGATGCAAGGATCAAAACAATACAGAGCTCACTGGCATGATGGACAAGACAGAGTCAGTTCATAACGCAATTCAATTCCGAGCTCGTCTGTTCATGGTGGGGTATAATATGAGCAGACACCTAGTTACAAAAAGGACCGACAGTTGTTGTACAAAAGGTCGTAAAGGAAGAAATAAGGAAACAATGCGGGTTGGTATAACTCCTCGTACGTGATGCGACATTGCAATCCGTCCCATCTTCAACCTGATATCTCCGCATATAGCCCAAAGGAATCCCTAGATGAAAGAACGCCAGTCCCGCTGATCTCATCCGGGTATGATGAAGCTATGCTCGCAGAAAGCAGGTATCCAAGAAGTCATGTCGTAAATTTTGTGTAATGGGGTATGTAAAAGGGCGCCTAGTCGATTTCCATCCGTTGTGATGGCGCAGGTCCGCTCAATGATGGCATCTCTGTGTTGTATGTCTTGTCGTTCTGGACAATCTTGTCGTTGACATGGGGCTTCAAGCCCTTGTTGAAGTTGTGTGTGCACAAGCACGCGGTGACAATGGTGATGATGAGTAGGAGGATGGTGAGAATGGCAAAGGCAGTCAGCGACTTGCGGGCTGGCTTGTAGTCCTCCTGGCGGCTGGCATCGGCGACCCACATCCGGATGAGCTTGAACAGGAAGTAGCCGAGAGCAATGAAGTAGACGACGATGATACCAATCATTCCAGCGACGGATTCGCGACGGACCCACCAGGCGGCGAGGAACAAAAGGAAGAAGGTGATGACGAGGGCGGCTGCGGTAAGGATGAGTTCGACTGTCTTGGTGTTCTTGACGACGACCAGGAACTGCACGGTGAAGGCCAGGAAGAAGAAGAAGTCGAACTTGAGGAGCGCGATGTAAATCTATGTCGTAGTCAGTAAGGCGCGCATGTATGGTATTGGACAAGCAGTACCTGGTAAGTCAGATAGCGCCTCTTCAGTCTTGTGTCGGCACTGATGCGCTTGTAGATGGTCCAGGCAAACTCATCGTACAGCTTCCATGCTTCGAAGGCGAAAATGAGAGTCGCGACAGCCATCAGCACGGGCAGCGCGATGAGCATAGGCTTGACGTCGTCCCAGAAGTCTTGAGGGATGAAGCGTCGCGTGTTGAGGTCGTCGGCGGCGTCCTTGATCTGATCGAATTGGATAGCGGCATAGATGAGAATGCCGATGTTGTAGAGAACGAGACCGATGACCTGAATGGTGTTCTTCATGCGTAGGGCATCCCATGTGAGGAACAGTTGGTAGACGTAGCCGAACATGAAGACGGCGAGGAAAGTGGGAATCGTGCGGGTCTCGTTGGCGCCTGCACCAGAGGCCGCGAAATGGATCTCATTCTGGAACTTGCTAAAGACATATCTGATGGGGTGTTAGCAGGCGCATGGTGGTGAGGGTGGCGCAGAGGCAGACGTACGACTCTAGGGCGAGGGCAATGCCGACCTGGCAGATGGCCGTGAGCATAAAAGCCCAGGTCCACCGCGTATTGGGAACGTACATCCTCGGTGGGCGGCGCACGACGGGTGGGAGCGTGGTGGGGAAGCCTTCGCGGTGGTGATACCCCCCAGGCTGGGTATCGAAAGAGGGCTGCGGTGGGTATGTTGGTTGATACGTCGTGTTGGGGTAGGGCGCGTAGCCTCGGTCGAGGGGTTGGCCTCCTAGGAGGGAATGGCGGGCCTCGTGGTGAGTAATTTTGGCTATGGTGGCAGCCGCGATGGGCGGCTGGAGCGTGGGGATATAGAGGCGGGTGGTGAGGCGGACGTGGTGGTGCGGCGCAGACAAACTGCGACCTGTGTCGTGGTGCGGTGTGTAGGGCTGCCGGGGTACTTGAGACAGAGGGCGGGCGCTGGGCGGACTGCTGAAACCAAGGGAGTCGCTGTCGTCGGGGGAGCAGGTGAGCGCGCGTCGCTGAAACTAGTATCTTGGCTATGCGGAGAGGCCGAAGAAGCAACAGGCGATGACGAGCGACGGGTCGGAGATGGGGATACTTGGTGATAAGGAGCGATATCGACGGACAACAACACGAGCGAGCGGCGGAGGAGATGTTGTTTGTTAGGATTTGAGGAGTGGGCGGAGATGGGACGGCTGCTGCTAGGCGGACGCAGGTGCTGAGATGTGCGCAAAGTAGCGCCTGGGAGAGCCCCGGCCGGTGTGGAGAAAGGCTGAAGGGGGTCTCGCCGTAAGACCCGCTCGCTGCTCCGTGTTTACTTCAGTCAACGGTAGCCTAGGTGAGGCTTTGTGGATATCAAAATACGAAGCACGAGAATGCGCACGTTGGGCGGTCTGACTTCTACAAGTACGGCACGACTGTCATGCTGCGGCGCGGCCCAAGCCTTTGGCTGCTCAGCTGCCTGTCGCTTTCGGCATCCTCTCACGCGCACAAGGCTTGGCCCCAGCTGCTGCTGAACCATCGCCCACCTGCACCGCCCGGCGATTGACCCTGCTCATTGGCCGGCGTGCGCTATCTTTAGATTGCATCTGTGGCGCAGGCCTTGAGCACTACGGTGCGAGTCCAGCGCAGTGGAGCTCAATCTGCCGTCATTTTGCGCGACACCGACAGCTTTCCCGTCACTTGCTTGGGCCAATCACACAGCCATATCTGACATCATTAAGGACGCGTAGTGCACAGGGTCGCCGTTTCGACTGACGCAGTATCGGCCCGCCAAAAGCAGCCCCATCGCGAGTCGCGCCTCTACCACCACCACGACACCCACGCGCCGCAGCCATGACGTCTGGTGAGTCTGGGATTCTAGGGTCCTGGCAACGCGGCACCTACTGATGCTCCTCCAGCAGAGTTGATCCTCCAGAAAGCTGCCGAGGACGGCTCCCTCGATTCGTACGTCCCCACCCCAGAGCCCACGTCCGGCGCATGCAGCATCTAACGCGCCCGTGTGCAGAGCAGAATGGCCAAAGACACTGCAGTACATCTTGGATCGCCTGGATGAGGTAATCCCGAGCTACCCATATCCACACCCATCAACCCTGACCCTCGCAGATCATCACCGACTTCCCCAAGCCACCCGCAGACGCACTTCCCAGGCCGATCACGTCCGCGACCACCGACCTGCCCTCGCGACCCAACACGTCCAATGCCATATCCAGCCAAGACTCGCATGCCACCGACAAGGAGAATGCACCGCCCGCCACGCCCCCGCGACCGCCTGTGCCCGCCTTCTCCGCCTCGACCGAGTCGCAAAGCGTACCAACAGACGTCACCACCTTCTACTCCTCCATACGTTCCACCCTCTCCAAGAACTTCGCGAACCATCCCCCGCATACCGTCCAACGTCTAGCTGAACTCATACTCGAGCCCAAGAAACGCTACCGATACCTGCCACCCTACCTCCGCGCACTCGACCGTGTCGTCTCCGTCTCCTCGCCCCTCACCATCTTCCCTCTGCCACAAGCCGTGCTGCCGACTTCCAGCGGACTGCTCAATGGCACCACATCCACCACTACGCAAACAGCGCAGCTAGGTTCAGACGAGGCACTAGGCGGAGCCCTACTCACTCCCATCCCTTGGCTTCAGAACCGCGGCCAGAACGAGCTTATTTCAGAAAGCACCGAAATGGTCGACGGTCCCAATGGTGCTGGACGCATAGAAACAGTGACGGTGGGAATGCTGAGTGGTCAGCGCGCAGAATCTCCCACCTCGAATGTAGCCCAAATTGCTTCGTCACATCCCGAGGGTGAAACGCTGCCGTCTACAGGGCCCGTCACTCAAGGCGAACTCCTGCGCCAGGAACAAGAGGCCGGCATTGTTTTGAACAACCCGCACAGCATGACCACCAGCCCGACAAGAACTACATTCGGCGAGATGGAAGGCGGAGGTACCATCGTAGATACCGTGGAGGGCGAGGAAGAAGCGCCGCATGCCCGAGGTCCAGAGGTTATTGGCATGGAAGATACCGGTCCGCAAAAGCAGGGAAAGCTCAACATTGAAGGAGCCATTGGCAGACCGAGCCTCGATCACAAGAGTCCAGAGGCCAAGTTACCAGCTGAGACAGAAGCCAAGGATCAAGAGATGAAAGATGGCGGATCCGAGAAATCTAGCGATGCGAAAGCTGGAGACAAAGAGCCCAAAGAAGATGCGCCTGCGAAAGAGGAGACGAAAGATGCAAAGGATGTGGAAATGAAGTCGGATGATTAGGCGTCAGACACTTCTCGTGAAGAGGGAGAGACCGCTTCGAATACGGTTGTTGGCGAGATTTTGAATCTGCTGAAATCCTATATGCCGTCCTGATGTTGCGCTTTCTGGGTCTTGTCAGCCGGGCGGATTTGACGTTCTACGGCGTTCAAGCAGGGTTGAATAGGAAGAGAGTGAGGGCTATGCAACGACTGTTATCTCGACAGAGTGCACAGGAGTAAAGATCAGAGGTGTGGGGCGAGCGACTGAAGTGCAGTACAGAGATTTGAATAAGACTCTAGCAGTTTTGATAGATACTGGCAGCTACCGTCAAATTGCTGTTATCACTAGCATCAATCATCAATCAGGGACCAGATACGAAACAGTAGACAACATGGTCAACTTTTGGTGCAATCATTACTCAATACTTGCTGTCGTTCCAACGATTTCTTGATTTCGCATGTTGTCATCATGGCCACTTCTCCTGACAACTCAAAGCACGTCTCACTCAGCGCGTAGAAAACAACCATTGGCAAACTATGAGAAGACTTGAGGTTTATTTCGACATCGAAAATCCGCCACTGTAGCTATATCACCACCACCTAATCAACCTTCTTCCACCAAAGAATACCCCTATACCCATTACCCCGCTCACTTCCAATCTTCAAATACGTAACCTCCTCTCCATTCTCCTCCACCTCAACAATAGTATAATTCCTCTTCCCCTTCTGCCCCTCCCAAGTCGGCACATTGGCCACAGTAAGCGGGCCATGGAAGATCTGGCCCTCCGTCTCCGTCGCAGGCAACTCCTCATTAACGCTGTACGGTCCCGCATATCCGATACTGTGCTTGCCGACGAGCGCCCAATCAGCGTCTGAGTCGTTGAGTTGGTAGGGGAAAGTGAGGTTAGGTCGGAATTCAGGCTCAGTGGCTGTGATGGTGGCGGACATGAACCCGGATTCTGTGTAGATGAGCAGGCCGACGGGGGCGTTGCCGTAGGGCAGGTCGGGGATGGGTTCGCCGTTGCGGGAGCTGGATGTGTTTACTAGGGAGTATGTTCCGGAGAGGGCTTTGAGGATGGGGTTGGTGTCTGTGTTGTCTCTGGCTTTGGGAGGGTCGGTGGGTTCTTCCTCTTCGGTTCGGGGCTTGACTTTGGCTGGTTCCGCCTTGTCGCAGGGGCTGGGAGGGTCTGTGGGCTTAGGGTTGGCGTAGGCGTCTCTGCGCAACTCGGTTATTGGCTCCTTTTCGTTTCTCTTGCGTTGACCGTCTTCAGTCTTTTGGCGTGGGACTATGACTTGGGGTTGGTCACTAGGACCAGTGGGCTCAGGGTCCGCTGCTCTGCGGGCGTTGGTGATGGGTTCCTCTTCTCCATCACTTCGAGGTAGGATTTCGTCTCCTACGGGTAGATCACGAGGACTAGGAGGTTCAGTTGGCTCAGGAGCCTCGGCGCCGTCTCGACGAGGCAAACCGCGGAGTTGAATAGTCTCCGGCGGGTCAGTGTGCTGTCGTGGGGCATTCTGTCTCTTCCCTGGAGCTTCGGGCGCGGGTGTAGGGGGGACCTCGCGTTTAGGTGGTCTGAGGATTGAGTCTTGTCTTCGGACAGCTGCTTCTGCGACTGGAGTTGCACGTGCGACTCGGGGTGGTACGAAAGATTCCTGGCGCTGAACCAGTTCGGGCGCGGGTGTGGGAGCCTCGCGTTTGCCTCCAGGAGCGTACCATACAGCACTGTCCTGTCTTCGGACAGCTGCGAATGGGGGTGGTGGTACGAAAGACTCCTGGCGCTGAACCAGTTCGGGTGAGGGTGTGGGAACTTCGCGTTTGTAGTGGTCGGTCCATTGGCGTTTGTCCCACTCGGGTACCGCGAAAGACTCCTGGCGCTGAACCAGTTCGGGTGAGGGCGTAGGAGCCTCGCGTTTGTAGTGATCAGTCCATTGGCGTTTGTAATGATCACTCCATTGCGGCGCCGCAGATGCCAGAGAGGCGAAGATAAGTACAGGAGCAATAGACACTCGCATCCTGTCGTATAAGATCGGCGGTGATGCTGGTAACAGTTGAGCACTTTACAAGCGGTATCAGACTGGAAACATTTCGCTGCGCATGAAGCAGACAGGGTGCTTTATACCCAGCGACGCAGTGACATGATCGACATCTGAACCACTTCGTTACACACGATCTGGACGACGGAATTGTCCTTCAGGCGTCACAATTACGCCGAATCGATATCTCTTGTCCGTGCAGGCCAAGCGTAGCGTGAGCGAGTGTCAATTTCCGGGATGTGGCCGTCGGCGTTTTGCGGGGGATCCTCGCCCAAGTCGATCCGAGAATCGATCCTTTTGATCCCCAATCTGGAGCGCATAGCTGAGCAGCCCATCTTTAAAAGATGCTAAGTCTTTCGCAAACAGTGTCGGGAATGTTGTGTGGGTTCTGAGATTGAGATGTTGAGTTGACGGTCGGGAATAAGTCGCTCTGCCAAGGTACCACAGGTCACATGTTGGGGCTGAGCACGTAAGCATCCATCGTGTAAACCTTGGAAACGACCGTTAGTGCGAAACACCAAGACAATCTATAGGGAACGACTTACAAGATGTCAGCACGATGTACGGTTACAGCCTGACAGCGGCATCAAGCCAGGAGACTGGCGTGTCTAGCATTGTTTTGCGGCGCCGAAGTTTCACCACCGCCACGATCTTGTCTGTCAAAACCCGGAAAATGGAAGACACCAAGGTTGGCGATGCAATTCACCAGTCGACCCCCAAGGCTTGGTGACCACCGCGACGGCTGTGGTGTTGATCTTTGCGCATCAGCGGCAGGAGCGTCCCTCATCTCTGTATCCCCGCCAAGGTCTTCTCGGTCCAACTTCACAGCCTCGATCTGCAGCTGCTCCATATTCGCGACATGGACGTCGAAGTTCTTGCGATATCCACTGGTATCGATGATTTCGCTCCCCTCCGGAACTGCCCATTGTCCCCTCGTGTATCGCCGTCTATTCCTTCGGCACATGGTGCTCCTAATAACGTCTCTTGGAGGTCCATTGCGGCTCAGCGGGATGACGTAGTGAGGGCGAATAGGGTTTGAGTCTATCGCGACTGGTGTAGCGGGAATAAGCTCTCGTTCGACCTCGAGTGGAGTTGTGCGAAGAACGCCTATCTTAGGCCTCTTTGGAGAAGGCTCGAGAAACTCTTCTGAGAGCGAGCTTGTTGCCTTACGGAGCGCGTCCACGTCAGCATCTGTGCGAACGTAAACATCTTCGTTCCATGAAACGCTTGCGCCTTCTCGTCGGCGCTTTCGCGTCGGCAGTTGCGCTGCGACATCGGTCCTAAGAACCCTAGGGATATCGGATTCGTTGAGAAGCTTATGCTGGATTTTCTTGAGCGATTTCCACCCTAGATCATGTTCATGGCCATCTCGGTCAGGGAAATCTGGATCGCTTGCGATTGCCCAGCGCCGACCACGGCGTCGACTGAAGATCTCGCAGTCCTCCTCGACTCGACCGATGAAGCCATTGTGTTCGGTGTCTTTGTACCAGTGCAGTGCAGCTGTAGCACTGTACTGCTTCCTGAGTCGGATATGTTCCACGTAAACGTCGTTGTTCTCGGGAGACTGTTTCGCTTCCCAGGCCAGCTCCATCTCGGAAAGATCTTCTATCTCGTTTATCAGGTTGGCTAAGTTTCTCTTGCAGTGTCTGTAGGACACATCTGTTCCATTCGCATTCCTCCCTTTCTTACCACCCAGACTGGCGACATGGTAAGTCAACTTAGCATAGTGGCCCTCGAGATTCTCTTTCCATTGAGGCAAGCCATCGTGGGCGTTGATAAAGTCTTGGATGTGCTGGAGCGTCTTCATTGAAGCATCTACCAAACACATCGGGCACATGGCTTTAGTGTAATTCTCGCTATAGACGGGATGAATCGTGTGTCCACATGCGTTTAGAGGCGGATGTTGAGGGGGTTCCGACTGACGTTTTGGCGTACAAGCGGGTTCGTGCTTCGGCCGGGGTCCATTTGGTATCGCCTTCTCGTGGCTGTGCTTGGAATGTGTTCGTGGTGTTGAAGAGGGTCTAGAGTCAGTCGCCCTCTTCTCCGAAGAACGACCGTCTGATGATGTTCGCTTTTTCTTCTTCGCTGGTGACTGTTGGTTCAGTCCGGTACCGCCGGACTCGTCTGAATTGGAGCGTTCTTTGCGCTTGCCTATGGACGTGTTGGCGTCATACGTTCTTGAGGATGGCTTTTTAGCAGCGGCCGCCGACTTCGCAGGCCGCGCTGGAATTGGGGATTCGGGAACGCTAAATGAGCCCATTTTGATGAATTGAATGCTCGTAATCGTCGTGTATGCAGAGGCTGCGATGGTGGGGATGTGTTTTAGGTATGGGATTGAATGCACAGAGGACGTGAGTTGTGGCGCGTCGAAAAGCACTGCAACATTTTCGAGTGGCATTGTAGGGAAAGGACGCTCGGACTGAAGTTGTGTGACGTCAAACGCTGTTAACCTTGCGCTGTTGTAATTGTTGTTGTAAGGGGAGTGAAATGGGTGACTTTTCGGCTTTCATTTGCACCTCTCAAACAGCCACCGACGACACTACGCAAGGCACGGTTGAGATTTACTGACGTGTCTTAGCGAGGAAGCGCATGTAAATGAGTTGGTACGAAAATCTCACAGGTGGATTGTAAGCCTTGGTTTCAACGTATCTCAACCATGGTTCTCAGCAAAATTCAAACGGACCGTCAGTAGGTACACCGATTGTTCTGTAGGCTTGTTTTAACATCAACCTGGGACGGACTCTACGTTAAGGGCCGCTAGGGTAGAATATATATGAGACACTCTGTAAGACATTCATAAGACATTCCATGCAAGTATCTATAGGTGTCTACGCGCCGGGAAGTGTGTCAGTGTAGGTCACAAGCAGTACGCAAATAATCTTTAGTGTGACACCTTAGAACTAATTTTCATATTGATACAAGAGCTGACAAGTGTCGAACAAGAGTCATTGGTTTACTTTCACTATGCTCTCTTCGATACAATCGAAATCGACCCTACGCATCAACGCATTCCCAGCTCTCAACAACATCAGGGTTTCCACCCTTGTACTGGTTGACCTTGGGGAACTTGCAATGAGCGCGCTCAAACTCAACGCCAAGAGCCACGGTATCGTTGACGAACTTCGTTCCGATAAGTGTCTCGGGTGCGTTGCCGTTTTCTACCCAGTCAACCAAAGCCATGAGTACGTTGTGGCTGGTCTCGTATCCGTTGACCTCGCCCACACCCTGGCCAATGGCGTGCGCACCCTCTCCTCCACCGCAGTGACCAGTTCCACTGACAAGGAAGTACCTGTAGAACTCGTCGAGTTCTTCAGACGATAGACCCATGGTAGAAGTGACGTGTTCGTAGTAGCGAGCAGAGTTGTCGGATGAGATGACAAAGTCCGCGCCGCCATGCCAGTGTAGCACCTTGGCGCCGCGGTCCTTCATCCCGCTCAAATCACCCTTGAAAGACTCGATCCCAAAGAGATTCAGTTTTGCGGCGTAGTCGTAGTCCTTGGAGCTAAGAGTCGCAGGGTCCCAGTTAGGGTCATTGTAGATAGCATAGCGGAACCAATCTGTGGTGTAGGGGAAGGGCTGTCCGTTGATGATAGCGCCAGCCGCAATCACCTCGGCGCCAGGCTGCAGACGGGGATAGACTAAGTCTCCTGCATCGTTGAGAAGTGGCGAGTAAACTCCCTTGACTGTCTCTAGTTGCTCGGGCGTAAGGCAGGTAGTGGTGTTGCTGCCCTCAGCGCAAGCTAGGCCCGAAGGGTCATACTGGCAAAGCAAGGGAGCCTCGAGGATGCCATCTTCGAGGTTGTCAAGCTTGTCGCATTGTTTCAGGACGTCAGCGTGAATCTGCACCCACTTTGACTGCGGAACGAAAGCAGACGACGAGTTTGCTGGGCCAGTGAGGGTGTAGAAGTGTCCACTCCATGAGGTAAGGTTGTTGAAGGCGAACGCTGGTGCACCCGCAACAATGCCATCGAAATCTTCAGGGAAGTCTTGGGCAGACTTCATACCCTGTCTTCCTCCGGTGGAGCATCCAAGGTAATAGGACTTGTCATGCGGTTTGCCGTAGAAGTCTTCGGTAATCTGCTTTCCGACCACGACACCGGTGTGTAAACTAATATTGATCAGCCGAACTCTAGCATGCCGACACATGGATACTTACGCTCGGTACGCAAAGTCTTCTACAACGTCTGAGTTGTTGTAGAATGGCAATCCACTCGTGCCATCGTGACCGTTGTTGGTCCCAACCGCAGCGAAACCTAGACCAACCGCATAGGCCAAGTCGTCGTAACTGATGCAACCATTCAAACCTCCATTGCCGCCAGAGAGGAATCGACCTGTCCAGTTGGCTGGAAGGAACGCCTCCATCCTGAAGCCGGAACGCTCAGATGTCGACACATTGAGCGCGACGCGGCACATGTCCGCTGTGATAGCTGGCGGTGCTGCGGCACATGTTTCGTCGTATACGGGTACAGTCAGGTTCGTACCAGCGGCGATAAACTCGGCCGTTGTAACAACACCACCATCGATGTGAAGTTTAGACGCAAGTTCCGCACACTTCGAGCTGAAAGCGGCCGGTGCCGTGCCGTTTGTGGGGTAGGATGCTGACTGTGGGGCGGCGAATACGACAGAAGGCGCATTGAGTAGCGCACATTGGAGTGACTTGTCGAACCTCATCTTGACAGTAAGCCAGATAGATTGAGTAAGAACCTTAAACCAAGATTATGGGAATGCATCTTCTCTTTATTCTACCGAAAACTGGGTCTTCGTCACGGTACATTACTAGCGTTCGCCTCCGTGCCTGGGGCAGGATAAACGAATAACAGAAGCTGGGGCATATTTGGGGTGCTCCGTTATGCAGCCCTGCAGGGACGTGCCGCGATGACGATCTTTGGCGACACCAAACACCGAATTGTACAACAAGCATGCGAAGAAGCTGGGGTAAAGGTCTACTACTACCGAGGCAACACTGGGAGGCTCACGTGATCGCACTTCAGATTGAATGTTTCGTTCTGTTGCACAACTGCCGACGGGTAACCATGCTGCGTGTACGCGTAGCTGGTGTACTTGGTGATGCCGATGCATCTGCCGATGAGGGCGCGGAGGCGACACTAAGAAGGTGGTTACTTGCTGTAGAACATTTTAGCAAAACATATAAGAGCCGGCCCGATTTGGCCTCTTGTCATGTCCTGTCAGTGCTGTCGTGCGATCGTTGAAGGTTGGGGCCGGCGCTGCGCGTCATGCGGAACATTGAAGCCGATGGGCGGAGTTCTGCCGCCAGGGGAGGAGCGATCTGCGCGTGCGGGTGGGCCCAACGGTGTATTGATTATAAGTCGGGGTATTGATAACAAATCGGCGTTCCGTCCAAATTGCGATGGACGTGAAATCGGTAACTGGGATCGCGGAAATTGAGCGAGTTTTGGTCGATGAAGCAGGAATAACATTTACTCGCAGGGCATGTACCCCCTAGCAACTAATCAGGTACCATACTCCGCATCCATACAACACTAGCAGCATCGGAAAGACCCTTGCATGCAGTTGCAACTCCTTACAGCTTCCTGGGACCACAAATCGCGTTGCTATAATCTCGAGGACGTAGCAGAACCCTTCATGATGTCAGTCGTCCTTCGTTCACAGAAGCAGGACTGACACCGTCATTCATGCCACCTCATACCTTCCAGACCTTGCCCGCAAACTCCTGAACATCCTCCCAAAGCTCTTTCGGTTTTTCCAGAGCAGCAAAATGTCCACCGCTTTCGTGCTGCTTATAGAACACCAAGTTTGTTTCTTTTTCCAAGATGCTCTTGATGCCTGGGGCCAGTTCTCGTGGGAAGAACGAGAAACCGAGTGGCTTCTTAGGCGCACCAATGTCCCTAGCACCCGACCCAAAGAGCGCGCGATAGGGATAGATAGAACGAGCAAAGCTTTCGGTGAACCAGTAGAGTGACACATTGGTGAGTGTCTCGTCGAGGGACGGGTCCTCATCGCTCCATTCAAGAAACTTCTCACCGATCCTGAACGACATTAGTGGAAACATCTCTCTACGTGGAACGATGACATTACCATGCAAGGAGTGCGAGCGGGCTCGATGCCAATACATTCCCAATCGTACTGGGTCTCGAGCCATGCTCCTGAGCGTAGGCCGTTCCGCTGGTTGCCCATTCCTTTGCGTAACCGAGGGATTTCTTCTCTACCTCATTCAAAGGAGTGTTCTCGTCCGGCTTAGGAAGACCACTTATCAGGTTCACTAGTACATCAGAATCAGAGTAATCGGTATATGGAGTTGGACTTACAATGCAATGCTACACAGGAGTCGTACAATTGGCTCATCATTTGCGCCGTAAAGCTGCCAACGTCTCCTCCCTGGGCGATGTACTTGTTGAAGCCCAGATTCAGCATCAGCTGGTTCATGACGCGACTGCTGTCTGCCAGAGTCCATTCCTTGTCTACCGACTGCACGGTACTCAGGGTGTACCCGGGCAGTGAGGGTACGACGATGTGGTATGGTAGGTCCTTGGCTGAATGCTTCTCCTTGATCAATGACAACATAGGCAGAAACTCGAGGAAACTTCCTGGCCATCCGTGCATGAAGATGATGGGGATGGCATCTTTCTTCTCAGAGAAAAGAGCGACAAAATGCATATCGACGTCCTCGATTTGCATCTTGTAGTTCGGGAACGAGTTGATGTGTTTTTCCTGTGCGCGCCAGTCGTACTTGTTCAGCCAGTAGTCTTTTGCGTCGGAAAGCCACTTGTGGGACACGCCAAAGCGGCGGTCTTCTTGTCGTCCTTCCCAAGTTTCAGGTGCCAGCTTGGAGAGCTGGAGTAGTTGACGCCATTCCGAGATGTCCTGGTCAGAGACATTAAGGGTGAAGGGTTTGGCGGAGTCGGGTGGTGAATAAGACATGTTCGTGGTGAAAGAGGTGTTTTCAGGTTGCTGGAGATCAGGCATCTGCGGAGAGCATTCGACCCTCTTATACTCACCAGACTACACACGAATTATAGTGGGTTTGGCTAGGCAGCCTTCACAATGGAGTGGGGTACATGTACTATCTTGGGCTACGGGCGGAATGAACAAGTCCACCATCCGCTGTGGATCTCTCCGGACCAAGGAGATGCCGTGGAGTGGAGTGGTGCCGGTGCCTCCGAGCATGTTAGGGCTCCTCTAACACTGATCGTACCTTGGGATTCCATGTTGGTGATTACAGTTCGCTAGTTACCTGCGCTTCAGTCTGGACCTCGGTTCGTACGCTAGGCCAGGGAAACA